TCTCTCTCTCTCTCTCTCTCTCTCAAGAATATGTTTGTTTATCTTTTTATAGAAATTCCGTAATAAACAATTTTTTTTTGTTTTAAAACCCTAGGTCATCTGAGCTTCAGAGGATTCATGCAGTGGCGAATTCAAGGGGAACCCAGTCGGCCCGGGCCCCGTAAATTTTTAAAATTATTTTTAAAGAATGGAGAAACAATTATATTCCAATCCTGAAAGTGCCATTTCTGGCCATCTAAAGGCGAAGTAATCTTAATTTTTTTTTTCTTACCTCAGCCCCAACCATGGTGGGGCTGAGGTGTCTATCTGTCAAAGTCCCTCTCTGGGCACCCTCTATTTCGAATTCCAGATCCACCACTGCAAGGACCACCCCATCTATGCGAGGGTCAGGAAAAATCCTAGATCCGCGCCTGTGTATCTTTAGTATAAAATTCCTTGGTATCGTGAAATAACTGAATAATAACATGTTGTATTTATACCGGATAGTTTTTCTTGCGAACAGGGTAGAATCGAACAGAGATTCGAACAAGACAGGTGCGTAGAATCGTCTGACTGTTTTCCTGGCTACGATTGTAATTGCCAAAATGAAGAAAGACGGGCCATTGCTGTTACTATGTCTGAATACACTCGTACGTTTTATGTAGAACAGATTGTGATCTTCGCATGTGTGGCAGTGAGGACGTAGCTTGGTTTTCTGGACAACATGATCCTTCTTAAGATTTGCTCACGTTATGTATTATAGCAGTGGCGGATCCAGAAATGTGAAATAGAGGGTCCCAGGGAGAGACTTAAACAGATGGAGGGTCTATACCACCTCAGACTGAGGTAAGAAAATTTATGATTATGGTACCTCTACATGGCCGGAAATGGCACTCTCAGACTTAAATTTGAATATGATTTTCTTTTTATCTCCATTTAAACATTTTGACAAATTTAGGGGGTAGGCGGGTCGGCTGGGCCTCCTGAATCCGCAACTACATAGATAGTTAGGAATTCGGTAGAATTCAGTTGGCTATGACGTTTTGTTAAAGCAATTTGTTTAATTTACATGATGTCAATCCACTTAATTTTCATTAGGCCTAATAATTTGTTTCTATATTAACATGAAATACAGGTCCTCTTCCAATTAAAGACCATTTTTGGGACCGGGATTTCCATGGTTTTTAGCCGCTTTGGTCCCTAATTAGAATAATAAAGATAAAGGACATTTATGAATTTGGGACCACACAAAATTGGTCTTTAATTGGAGGTGGTTTTTAAGTGGATGGGTCTTTAATTAGAGGGAGAATTGTATTTTCCTGCAAAATGAGATTCGCATCAGAAGCAAATCGAACTCAACTGAATTGAATAATGCGACATAAATCAGAATTATATTAAGATAATCGGCGATTTAGAGAATGTCTAGGTCGATACAATTATACAAGATTTCCTGCAGTTATCCTACAAAATTCTGTAACGATGACTGAAATACACCTATTGCAAGTCGTTGATATGCAAATAGGAACATGGTGGGCATGCACTGACTAGAAGTCTTGAAATGGGGGTGCTGATTCGGTGGGGGAGGCAAAGGTGAAGTGGGGGCTCGATGATCAGTTAAAAGGGCACTAATTCGCAAAATAAGTTGAATTTTAATTACTTTACCGTGATTTTGGGGGGCGACTGGGGGTGCACGAGTATTTTTGGGGGACCCGAGTACCCCTCTAGATACGCCAACTGTGGGCATGTTGAACAGATGCTGACGATTCGACTAGCATCGTTGCAAATAACTGTTTTGAAATAATAATAATAATAATAATAATAATAATAATAATAATAATAATAATAATAATAATAATGATAGTGCAGTTTTATATAGTGCACATATCCATCTAATGTAAGATGCTCAGGGCGCTTGATATGTGGACTAGGAAATGCGTCCATCGTGATAGGTCTACTTTATTACAACAAACAAAACATACAAATAAAAATAGTACCACTTTTAACATAATTGTATATTATTAACTCGTTATTTAATGTATAAAATGTATACCGTCTTACTATTTAATTATTGGTGGAAGAGTTACGAAAAACAACAACTGTTGGGAGATCAAGAAAAATATATCAAGAAAATGTATATTTATTGGAACGTTGAAAAAAATTGAAACTTGAAGGACAAAGTAACGAATTACTTAAAGCATGTATTATATCAACACCTTAGTGACATGTTTTCTAACAACCAGCATGTAGGCCTACTTCAAATATATAACACACCAGTGACACTGTTACAGTAAACCATTTAATTTATAAAGGAACCATGATGAATTGGTCGGCTCCGTTTACATCGAAGCGGGCATGCGTATATAGGCCTAAACATGCATTAATAGTCAGGGTGTGAAAATAAACGGTTCTGTGAGCCAATGAAAAGGCACGGAAGTCAGATTGATTTATATTTACTCTATTATGCATTGTGGTATCTAAAATCGTACAATTTTTGGACGATCAATAACATTATTGAAATACTTGGTTTATGTAAATCAATATATAAGCATACATAATTAAAGTTCCTGAAAGTGTTGTTAAAATGGTTAATAGGGAGTTTTCGCAAGCTTACAGAAACTATAACGAATACGGTTACGTCATCACATTTTGAGACAACCGTCCCCTACAGTAGCGTATCTGTCACAACGTAGGCTATTTATGCCTTTTCCGTCAATCTAGAATCACATTCAGCTCGTATAGCATATTGTCAAGAATGTTGAGGCACGACCAACGAAAATGATGATGACGTATTCGTATTCGTAATCGTTTTCGTAAGGTTGAGAAATCTCCTAATAACTTTGTTTCTGATTTCATTTTGGAGAGACAAAAATCCAAAAATCAAGAAAAAATAAATGATAGGATCTTTGTCGAGGGGAGGAAACAAAATGCCAGATTTTGAATTAATAGAAAAGGCGCTCAAAATGATAGGCCTATGGGTCAAGACATTATTAGAGCCTGAAGATGCAAAATGGAAGTACTGTACAGTCCTTTGCATTGTCTCAAGATGCATGGATCTCCTCTGATATGATGTTCCAGAATATGCGGAAGATAGTGAGATAACACTTGTGTCAGCCTTTACAGGTACCTTGCTGAACGGCGATTTTCGTGTCATTGCTTAAGTTCCGGTATTTTAACATAATTATTCCAAATAAATTTCATTGTGCCTATTGGCTAGAGGAATGCGGCACGCTCTCCTACACTCTCCCACTCCCCACCAAAATAAAGTGCACCAGTCGCGCCTTTTCCGCCGCACCCAGGGGCGGATCCAGAAATGTCCAAAAGGGGGGGCCGAAAGTTGGGCCGATTGAGACAACACTGTC